CACATTCTAAACATAGTCTCAACCAATGAATAATAGTTATGCCTCAGTGCCGTGACTCTGTCTCTGAACTCACCTGCAGGTATTTTCAAGTTTTCTCTAATTGTGAACTCACATGTTACTAGTTTTTTGCCACGCTCATAAAGTTTTGGAATTACTTTCTACATGCCTTACTTTAGTTCTCTGATTAAAAATGTCACTTTTTCTATTTATAATATGGTTTTATTTTTAACCCTACCTAATTAGGGACATTTAATATCATCTGTCCTTATTGGGCTGTTCAGTAAAACTGGCATGCAATTGCTATTTTAGGGCAACCCCAGTTTCAGCTGTGCAGCGTGTTTATGCAACCTACTTTATTTATGCTTTCATTAACAGAAGCCAGAACTGCTCATATGCTCCTGCAGGAGATGCCAAGGCCCTTCCAGCTCCGGTCCTCAGTTTATAAGCAAACAAATCTGGACTTTTTCAGGGTAGACCTTATTATTCTTTCAACTTTTAAATCCTTTCCTAAAATGTCTTATCAACACAAAAGAAACGATACTGAAACAAAACATTGATAAAGTGAATCAGGTAACTAGTTAAAACAGGAAAATAAGCTGATTGCAGTTTTTACTTTCTACATAATGAAAACTTTTCAACAAATCAGCTGTCAAATTGAAGTTGTCTGAAAGAAGAGCCTTGCCTAAGAAGGAATACTCTTAATCTGATTTTGCCTGGGTGGAGTTTTGCCATGAGCAAGTCCCCCATTATCTGTTTGCAAAATGATAATGGAGATGGTGGAGAAAGGCTGGGCTACAGAATGAATAGAATATATTCCCTATAGTCAGAATCACCTTTTATAACAAGCATGAGTTCATGTCTCTCTTGTGACTGGTACAAGAGGCAAGAAGTAGCTGACTCACATCAATATTATGAGTTTTTCTGATTATTTCCACTTGAATTATAAGCTCTGTTAGCAAATGGTTTGTATTCAAGATTTTGTGACAGTTTTACCAAAACTTTTTTTAAGCATTCCTAAGTATTAATTCTAAAATAACTGTCCTTTTGATACCGATCACCCAGCTACCAAGCTAATACTACACATTTTTAGTTTTGTTATAATACTGCCCTGATTCTAGGTATAAAATTACCAAATTATCTATCTGTTTTCAGAAACAGAAGTTCTTCTAATTATTTCAGGCAGAAAAGGATTGAAACCCAAGGAGGTAGATGCTTAATAAATTGTTGAGTAAGCTGAGAAATAGATTTTAAGCAGAGTTGACCTTTATAGAAGCTCTTACCTCTGACAGAAAGAAATTACAAGGTTTCCACTAGAGATACTGAATCCAAGAACATACCCCTGTACCTGCTATCCAAAAATCAGGAAAGCAAGAAGTTACCCCTGCTGCTGCCATAATACTTTATAATATCCATGGAGCTGGAGTGCTGATGAACTCCATGCTCCCACAATGTTGCTTGCCAGAAGAAACAATCAAAGCAGCAGGAAGATGGTCTCCACCTACTCTGCCTTCCAAGTCTCTTGCTAACACATCTATTTCATAGAATTTAATTCACATAAAACTTGAGAAGCAAGTGAATCTTGGAAATGTTGTCACTTTCAGCCTCTGTAATACATGAAGAAATACCTGGAAGAGTATAGTAATAGATGCTGACTGTAAATTATCCACAACAAGCAAAGTATGAAAAAGCTTTAGATAAGAGAAGCAAAAAGATGGTAATTTGAAGCCAACGGAGAAGATGTAATCAAGGGGAAGATGGCAGTGGAAAAAAAAAAAGTGTTGAGGATAATGAAGAAGAAGAAGAAAATGCCAGAAAGGGAAGAAGAAGAGGAGGAAGAAGGAGAAGGAGGAGAAGGAAGAATAAGAAGAAATAAAACAGGAGAGTGGAGGATTAAAAGGAAGAGAAGGGTAACAACATGGTCAAAGAATGCAGATTTTCAAATCCAGGAATTTCTTTAGAGATGAAAAAAAAAAAAAAAAAAATCACAGGCCTTGTGACCTAGTAAGAAAAGGATTAAAATGGGTACTGTATTCAGTAACAAAGACATAACCCTGGTGATGTTGTTTCATTGGAATGATGGGAGTAAGAGACAGACTCAGTGAGCTGAAAAATGAATGCGATGTGAGAATGAGGAGGTAGGGAGTGTCAACGATTCTACCAATAACTCTGCCCATAAAACTATAGAGTAGGTGTAGGATATTAGCTCAAAGTAGATTTGGAGAAAAGAAAATTATGTTTTTCTTGCCCTTTTTAAGATGGGAGGCAGTTGAGAATATACCAGCATTAAATGGAAAAGACAGGAAGGGATTGAGAGGCTGAAATGTAGAAAACAATAGAAAAGGTAATGAAAGGTGACCCCTTGAGGGCAGATAATGGAAATCAGAGCAGATGTAAAAGAACTGAACTTGCATGGTGTGATGGTTAATTTTATGTCTCAACTTGACTGGGTGAATGGATACCCAGATAGTTGGTAAAACATTATTTCTAGGTGTGTCTGTGAAGATGTTTTTAGAAAGGTATTACTATGTGAATCAGCAGCCTGAGTAAAGAAGATCCTCCCTCACCAATGTGGGCGGGCATCATTCCATTCCATCCATTAAAGGCCTGGATGGAACAAAAGAGCAGGGGAAGGTTTCTCTCTCTCTCTTTTTACTTCTTCTTTCTTTTCTCTTTCTCCTTGATATGGGACATCCATCTTCTCCTGCCCTTTTGGACGTAGTTGCTTCTGGTTCTGGGGCCTTTGAACTGTGGTACTTACATCACCTCCCCGCTCAGTGCCTCGGGCCTTTGCCCTCAGATTGGCAGTTACATACATCATCGTCTTCTTAGACCTTTGGACTTGGACTGAATCACACCACTAGCTTTTCTGGGTCTCCAGCTTGTAGATGACATTTCATGGAACTTTTTGGCTTCCATAATCATGGCCAATTTCCATAATGCATCTCCATATACATATATAGTCTATTCATTCTGTTTCTCTCAAGAACCCTGACGAATATAGGTGGGAAAGAGGACAACTTTTCTTGCAGAGGAAACAGAAATGAATGGGTTCAGATGCAGGTAAGATTCTGGATGGTGAGGCATGAGATGGAGAGAAACTTACTGCTGATTTCTACTTTTTTCATACATGGAAATAGAAACGATCCTTTGTTATATCGAAGAGACATGTATTGAGTTATAGAATCCTTGAGAAGTTGAGAATATTTGAGTCTATACTTATATCTCAGGTCAATAACCTTCTGGTGACAAGGAGCTGCTTGATACTGATTAAAGTCTTTTAGTCACTAGTTGGATGGGAGGGAGATGCTGAGAGTGCGTGTCAGTTTCCTAGGGCTGCCATCACGAAATACCACACCGGTGGCTTAGAACAACAGAAATTCATTGTCTCACATTTCTGGAGGCCAGAAGTCCAAAATCAAGATGTTGGCAAAACTATGCTTCCTCTTGAAACTGTCATTACAAAATTATAACTGAGACAGTGAAAGAGATCTGACCTAACCAACTGCATCTTGCTTCTAACCTCCAAGCTGTCCTTGTTCATTCCTGGGCATACACTGAACTAACTACTGAGAGGAACTTAGTTTTAGTTTAAAACAAAGATGATGACAGTCCTTTCCCAAAACAAGCCTCCTTTTTGCCTGAGGACTAGACTGCCTTTGTAGGACTAACAGATTAGGCACAGGATTAACAAGTATGGTTTAGGAGTCATGCAGCTGGTGGCTACAAGATTCTGATGCTCCCTAAGCTGCTCCCAAGATCAGTGCTTCACATATTTTGCAGACCCTGAGCTTGATGGATCTGGACCCCACCCAGATCTTGTGACACCCACCCCCTGCAACCCAGAAACTAACTCAGTGCCAGAAGAGAGCTTCGACTCCCTATGATTTCATCTCTGACCTGACCAAGAAGCACTCTCAGCTCACTGGCTTCCTCCCACCTGCCCTTAAGAACTGTCCTTAAGAACTCTGATTCCTGAATGCCCAGGGAGACTGATTTGAGTAATAATGAAACTCTGGTCTCCTGTACAGTTGGCTCTGTGTGAATTACTCTTTCTCTATTGCAATTCCCCTGCCTTATAAATTGGCTGTGTCTAGGCAGTGGCCGAGGTGAAGCCATTGGGCGGTGGCACTCTGAAGGTGCTAGGGAAAAATGTGATTCAGGCTTCTCTCCTGGTTCCTGGTAGTTCCCTGGGTAGGTGACAGCATAACTCCAGTTTTCACATGATGTGCTCCGTGTGTGTGTGTGTGTGTGTGTGTGTGTGTGTTTATGTGTATGTGTGTCCAAATTTGCCTTTCTATAAGGACACCAGCCAGATTGGATTAGCTTTCCACCCTACTCCAGTATGACCTCATTTTAACTTAACTAATATGTCTTTAAGGATTCTGTCTCCAAATAAGGTCATACTCAGGTACTGAGGGTTTGAACTTCAACATATAAACTTGGTGGGAGGGGCACAGTTAAACCCTAGCAATGAATGTCGGAGATGTCGTAGAGTTATCGGTTAAATACCAGTCTCCTAGGGATATTACAAAGATTAAAGAAGGTAATACATGTAAAACATTTAGCTCAAACTCTGGAAATATAAAAGTGCTCATTAAATTAGTTAAGAATCCTGGCTTTCTGTCAATAAATAGCAACGATTCCTATAAAAATAATAATAATGAGTATTCCATATATTCATTAATTCATTTATAAATTCTGCACTCCCATTTGTGCTAGGCCTTGTGTTCATAGAAGGCATGTAAAGGTAAAGGAGATTAAAAGTAAATATTTGTTGAATGAATGAGCTGACAGTTTAATGAGGCAGAAAGACATACAAACAATTATGGGTCAGTGAAGCAAGTGCAGAAAGGCCACAGCATGCTATAGGAAGAACCGGAGGAGCAGGGATGGCTTTAGCAAGAGATGATAGTCAAAGGTTTGTCGCTGCCTACATGCCCTGGAGTAGCAGAAGACGGGCATACAACACTGATACTCATTTATTTATTTATTTGTCTTAGAGACAGGGTTTCACCACGTTGGCCAAACTGGTCTCGAACTCCTGACCTCAGGTGATCTGCCCACCTCAGCCTCCCAAAGTGCCGATGTTGTTTTCTCCAATTACTTCATAGAAAATGACAGTGAGTATACCGTCTTCCTCAAAGCTATGGTAGCATGTTTTTATCTTGAGCGTTTCCAAAAACTAAGGAATTGATTTTTCAAGTTTGGGAGATTTAAGTCAAAACATTTATAGCTCAGGGGAAGAATTTAGAATATTAGTAACAGAACCAATACATTATCATAAATAGATTTGACGAGGATACTTATGAAGTATATCAGAGTTTAAAAGTCGGACTTGTCATTTGTTCCTTTGTCACCAAAAGAAAGTAGGGAAAGAACTTACTGGGCACAGGTGTCTTTGGTTATTGTCACTCAGGAACACAAGCTGATGAAGGCATTACCTAGGAAATGTTTCATTATCATTGTGACAAATAAAGCAGATGTGTGGTTTATTATGGTCTGACTTTGGGAAATTCTGTTTGGAAGTAACAACTATCATTTCTCCTCTTTCTTCCTTGCCATGAAATTCTGTATGATTAATAGATGGATTTTCCGAACTATAGAAAAGACCTTTTAACCTATAGCTTATATAGGATTTCAGAGGTTTTGTTATTTTCTAAAAATATTAACAAAATTGGAGGTTTTCATGTTTTTTGCTGTATGAATATTTTTCGGGAGAGAACTGTTTATAGTTTTTCTAGTTTCCCATGAAGCTCATAACCCATTAAAGATCAAGAATAGGCCAGGTGCAGTGGCTCAGGCCTGTAATCCCAGCACTTTAGGAGGCTGAAACTGGCAGATCATTTGAGGTCAGGAGTTCAAGACCAGCCTGGCCAACATGATGAAACTCTGTCTGTACATAAATACAAAAATTAGCCAGATGTGGTGGCAAGGCCTGTAATCCCAGCTACTTGGGAGGCTGAGGCAGGAGAATCACTTGAACTCGGGAGGCAGACGTTGTAGTGAGCCAAGATTGAGCCACTGCACTCCAGCCTTGGTGATAGAGCAAGACTCAGTCTCAATAAATAAATAAATAAATAAAATCAAGAACAACCACTGTAGAACCCCTTCTTTGTAAATTCTGGTATCAGTGAATACATGCAATTTAACATAAATCAATGTTAACTAAATAGTAGCTGTAATTGGGATGTGAGTTGAAGAGTATTAAAATGCAGGCTTTGAATGAAGAGACCCCCTAAACAGGCTTTGTGTGAGCAACATGGCTGTTTATTCACCTGGGTGCAGGTGGTCTGAGACCAAAAAGGGAGTTAGCGAGGGGCAGTGGGATAGGAGTTGGTTTTATAGGTTGGGACAAATCTTTTCGGGAGGGAGCAGGGGTGTTACGGAGTAAGATCAGTTTCAGCGGTGGGTGGGGTAAGGCATAAGAGTAGTTAAGACGGCAGGGTGTGGTTAGAAACTTAATGTCAGGGTTCCCGTTGGGAGATCCCCCCCCCCACCCCGTTGGGAGATCAATGGCCAACGCAGGTGGGAGGCAGGCAGGACTTCAGACTTTCTGGGTCCAGGCTTGCACATGGAGGCCTGACAAAGAGTACACAGCTTTGAAGAGTTTAATGAACAGTAAATATGTACTGATTTCTAAATTAATTAGCATCCTGCCTTTATGACATTTTAAATCTGTTAAGTTTTTCCATTATTAACAGCTCTCCATCTTATAATAACTTAAAAAAAAAAAAAACGGAGTCTCACTCTGTTGCCCAGTTGGAGTACAGTGATGTGATCTGGCTCACTGCAACCTCCGCTCCCCAGGTTCAAGCGATTCTCCTGCCTCAGCCTCCTGGGTAGCAGGGATTCCAGGTGTGAACCACCACGCTGGGCCATAACATTTTTTTAAGGTGTCATTGAAAGGAGTATTTGTTTTGTTAACAGATTCTGTTTACCAAATTCTGAATTGGGACTATGGAAAACACACATGAACACATACACATACACATACACATACACATACACATACACATACACATACACATACACATACACATATACACATACACATACACATACACATACACATACACATACACATACACCCACACACACATTCGCCTGGTAATAATTCAGTCAGGGACAAGAGGGAGGCAGGCCTTGGAACTGACTGTGCCCCTACTCCTGCTCCTGCTTCATTCAACTAGAGCATCTCTTCTTTCATGTGTTCCTATATGATAATATTCCATGTTCTCTCCCCCTTTCTCTCAGTCTCTCTTGACAACAGAAATCCTGCTTTAAAAATATTCAGAAATCTGGCCGGGCGCAGCGGCTCACACCTTTAGTCCCAGCACTTTGGGAGGCCAAGGTGGGCAGATCATCTGAAGTCAGGAGTTCAAGACCAGCCTGGGAAAACCCTGTCTCTACAAAACATACAAAGCTTAGCCAGGCTTGGTGGCAGGAGCCTGTAATCCTAGCTCCTCAGGAGGCTGAGGCCGGAGAATTGCTTGAACCTGAGAGGTGGTGGTTGTGGTGAGCCGAGATCACACCACTGCACCCCAGCCTGGGCAACAGAGCAAGACTCCATCAAAAAAAAAAAAAAAAAAAATCAGAAATCACTAATGTAAATTGGATGTGAGAGCACAGTGAGCTGTCTTTATTTTATTTTATTTATTTATTTATTTTTTTATAGAGACGGGGTTCCACCATGTTGGCCAGTCTAGTCTTGAACTCCTGACCTCAGGTGATCCACCCGCCTCGGCCTCCCAAAGTGCTGGGATTACAGGCGTCAGCTGCTGCACCAGGCCACAGTGAGTTGTCTTTAAGAACTTGGAAATGAGGTCGACTTCTGATAGTTAAACTATAAAATCCAAACTAAGGAATAAAATAAGAAATGTATGATGTTGGCTGGAGTTAAGAAAAAAAGAAATAGACATATTTCTTCAAATCATTTTGAAGAAAGAGGGTGGTTCTTCATCCAGTCAGTAACATTAATGTTTCTAAATAAATCGTGTTCCTCAGAAAAGACTGAGGAAAGCACAGAGGGATCAACAATGGACCATGGAAGACGCAAGTCGGAGGACTTCTCTGTCTCCAGTCCCGAACAGAAAAACTCCTGCAAATGAATCCACCAGATTGGATTCATTGGGCCTCAAATTCTGTCCTTCTCTCTGGACATTTCCGTCTCCATCAGAGAAGGACTTTTCCTACTCATACTCTGGCTCCTCCCCAAGGAAAAGGAATTGCTAATCACTCTGCCTGCGGGAAGGGGTAAAGGTGTGGAAAGGATTCAAGGAGAAAGTGGAAAAGCTGTCTTTAAGCGTGACTAAGAAAGGCCCAGTGGAAAAGGCAGGGTATGAGGTGTGGCAAAGACAGGTAAAGTCATTCCAGGTAGAGGGAAAGGCTGCACGCCTGCATAGAGGCACGGCGAAGCTCGGCACTTTTGGGGAGCTGGCAGTCCTTTTTGCTTAGAAATTATAAAGGAAATGAAAAAAAAAATAAAGGAGAAAGTGGTGGAGAATGAGGCTAGAAAATCCAGCATTCAACAAGCGGTGAAAACAAGTTATAGTAAGAAGGCTCTCTGATCATTGCTTAATTCAAAATAGAGAAGGGAGGAGGTGGACAAAACGTAATTGCAAACATTAGTGTGCTGTCGAACTTTGGCAATGAAAATTGAGGGAAGGAAGTGTTTATAAAAGAACAGCTTAGTGGGACAGATCAGAAGTTACTGATGGGGAAGAAGGATCATATAAGATGAGTCTCTACTATAATTATTAATTAATGAACTATAGAAATACAGGGATGATCAGATTGGTGGGGGGAAGTCGATGAGTTCAACTTTGGATATATTGACTTTGAGAAACTTCTGAGCAAACCAAGTGAAGCTAGTTCTTTGTCAGTTAGGTAAAGGAGTCTGTAACCGAGAAAGAGGTATGAGTAAAAGATGAAGATTTGTCAGTCACTGACATTCAGTTGGCAGCCTAGGTGATAGAAATGGAAAAGACAGCCAGGGAGAAAATATAGATTGAAGAGAAATGAATCATCGTCATTGCATAATCGCTGAATCATCAGATGGGATATTCTCTGGTCTGTCTACTGGTTGTATTTTTAAAAGACCTGGGCAGGGCTGAGTTGTCCCAAAAGGCAGGGAGTAATCTCATTAGTGCACCTCTGGCAAGGGTGGAGAAGGTAAGTTTGCTGGTCTTTTTTTTCTTTTTTCTTTGAATTCTTTCCATCCCTTTTGCTTCCAGTTTTTCTCTACTCCCATAACATCTGCATCTATATCGTGCTAATTACCTTATCATGAAACCATATTTGATACATAGACTGTATATTGTGAGGGTCATGTCTTGAACACATGAATGAATGAGCAGTCTGAGACAATTTTTTCGTTTATGATTTAAAACTGTCTGAAAAACTGATGAACCTACATTGACACATTATCACTAGAATCCATAGAACCCACATCGTCTCATTAGGGTTCACTCTGGATGTTGTGCATTCTGTGGGTTTGGAGACATTTATAATAAATATTTACATATATGTTTGTAACAGATATGCCACTCTGGTGGGCAATGTTGATAACAGCCGAGGCTATACCTGGGTGTGGGCAGTGGGTAAATGGAAGAATCTCTGTACCTTCCACTCAGTTTTGCTGTGGACTGAAAACTACTCTACGAAAGAAAATCTGTTATTGAAAAAAAAAAGTGGCAGGGAGTGGTGGCTTATGCCTGTAATCCCAGCACTTTGGGAAGCTGAGGCAGGCAGATCGCTTGACGTTAAGAGCTGGAGACCAGCCTAACCAAATGGTGAAACCCTGTCTCTATTAAAAATACAAAAATTAGCCGGACATGGTCGCGGGTGCCTGTAGTTCCAGCTACTCAGGAGGCTGAGGGATGAGAATAGCTTTAACCCAGAGGTGGAGGTTGCAGTGAGCTGAGGTGACACAGTGAGACTCTCTCTCTCAAAAAAAAAAAGTTTGGAAAACCAAAAATTGAAGTTTAACTGATATTTCTAGAAATCTAGAAACCCTCACAATTGCTAAAATTGAACCCAAACAAAGACCAATTCAAAAATGGGCACAAAAGTAAAAATGAGACAGAGTGGCTCATGAACACATGGCCTTTTTCAATACATA